ACATTTATGGAGCGATTTGGCTAACTCATCTCCCTTAAAAAAGGTTGTCTGCAGTCTTTAGAGGTTATCACAATAAATTTCTCCTTAAGAAGCAGTCAGAATGTTGAGTTAGTTTGTACTCAGTGAAGATAGTTAAGATAGTTATACTATGAGTTGCTATTAGCTCAAATGAAATAAGAAAAGTTTATGCCTATGTTGGTTGACCAATTTTTTCATGCCTATATCTTGCAATATGCACAACTACTTTCAAGAAAACAACACTCAACATACTAAGCATTGTTGCTTTCCTACAATCTTGTTTTGCAATTTTATACCATTGTTTTTAGTTTTTTCCTTTTCTTTAAAAAAAAAAAAGAAGAAATGCTTGTAGGTCATTAACATGCACTCTTTGAATGACTTTCTAGTACCAAAATAGGCACTAGGTGCTGTCTCTTACCTTCAGTTTTACCATGAATAAAAATTGTTAAATTAAAATAAAGCCCAAAGCACTGTGACAGTGGAGTAACATATCTAAAAAAGTCATTATTTAAAAATTCATAAGATGTGACTTCACCAATAAAGTAGGGGAATCCACAAAACAGAGCTTTATAAACTTGTCTGAATTTGATTTGCTTTTTAAAGGTTTTTAAAAAGCACAAGACCAAGAAAGAAACCAGTTCTTATTTTAACACATTGCAGTGATTTATTCATTGTTTGAGTGATCATTTATTTGCCTTTATCTTTGCCCAATTTTTTTTAATAAAAAGGCATGAAAAGAAAAGATGAATCCTTTGCTTTAAGGGAGTAATTTCCTTTTGCCAGGTGACTTTTAATTTATGATTCTATGGCAAGAGAACTCATTCCTTTGCATATGGTTAGTTTTTGCCAGTTGTACAGTGTGTTAATACTGTAAAATATTTGGGGTAGTTTAATTAACTCTATCAAGGTGCTCATTAGCATGCTGCGGAACAATTAATTCACCTCTTAATTTGACACCATTTGTCATAAGTTTAGGTGCACTAGTCAATAATCCAAATCAAACTATTGTATGAGAAGTCTAGATAAAAATATGGTCAGTGTGTTTGCTGTTTTACAGGCCTGTGCTCCTTTATATCACTGGAGAACTCTTAAACCGTCACCGGAAAAGGATCCAGTGGGCACCTGCTACGTAGCAATTCAGAATTTCAGTGCCTATGCTGAGTACTCCCCTTGTCGGAACAGTAAGTTATTTTTATTCCTTGAAACTGAAAGCGCAAAATATCATCAACAAATTATAGCCTTGGGCAGAAGTGAGATGAGGGTAAAGGATATGGACAGCCGTACAGGATGTCCTGCTGTGATAGGAGGGCCAAGACTCGGAATTCTTGTGATCTTCTTCCACATTTTTGAGAATTCAGTTTTTAGATATTGTTCAGTGGAATTGGTAGGTTCCTTATTTTAGGCTTTAAACTGTCAGTGGCTGTTAAAAATGTACTCTCTGTGTTCTGAAGAATGCTGGATGCCCTCTTGGCTCCGTTATTACAGGGATGGTGTTAGTTACTGTCTTATTTTCTCACTGCTGAGACGCAACACCTAACACCCACAGTTTAAAGGAGGAAAGGTTTACTGTGACTCACAGTTTGTAGAGCTTTCAAAGTTGGTTGTAGTTTGTAGAGCTTTCAAGCTGGTTGGCTCCAAGGCTGGGCAGCATGACAGAGGGGCAAATAGAGGAGAGTTGCTCATATGGCATCCTAAAAACAAAAGTAGTCAAGGCAGGAGCAGGAAAGGCAGATAGTGTGTGATCTTCCAGACCACAACCCCAGTGACCCACCTCTTCCGTCTGGGCCATGTCTAAAGAGCAAGCCCCATTTGTGGTAAATATTTTCATGATTCAGAACTAATTTAAGCAAGATAATGAGTAAATACCAGAACCAAAATATTGAAGATAAAGATTTCGTTCAGTGACAAGAGAAGGTTAAAAAGATTCAGAACTCCAAAGAACTGAGAATGGAACTTTTTAACTCTGATGGCTTTTGGTGAAATTTTGGCAGGGACAAGATGATGGTCTTCCGAATGTTAGCTGAATGGACAGTCTGTGAAAAAAGGACTTTATCTTAAACAGCTTTAAAATGAGGGTGCTTCGTAGATAATGAGGCTCCATTACTTTTTCATCAACACGTGTCTACCAAACACAATCCCACTGCCTGTTCTACATTCAGGGCCATGGGTTTAGTGAACCAACATTCTAGTAGGAGAGACAGGCAACAAATGCATAGATAAATAAGTTCATAAGATGATGTCAGGTGATGAAAAGGCTACAAAGAAGAAAACATAGCAAGAGAAGAGAGAAAGGAGTGACCTGAGCTGGGGGAACGAGAGAGGAAGAGGCCTTTGCCAGGATGATAGTAAGGGAAATGCGGAGCACATGATGATTAATGGTGGGGAAGAAGGCATTTCCCAGGCACAGGCAGCGCCCAAGAAAAGGCAGAGTTTGGGTCATGCTGCACTCAGGGTGCTGGACTTTTGGGTTTGGTAAAAGGTTGGTATTATCACACCAAAAAGATTCAGTGGTTAATTTGTTTCCTTAACATTTGCACCAATTTTCATTGTATTTTTCATGATTGACTAAAGAAGCTTCCCCATAACAGCCAACTACTGTAACTAAAAAAGATGAGCCCACCCTTCCCCTGGTGACACACTGTGTTCTTCTAACTGACAGAGAGGATGGTCATTAGTGAAACTTGTCACTGCTTCGAGCTCTGCCTTTTGGCCTGACTGCTTGTGTGACTTGACATCTCAGATCAAAATACAGCCCTATAGAATCTAGACTTGTGAGGTACAAGTTTCAGTGTGACTTTGAGCCATTATTTTAAAATATACTAAGTTAAAGTACACTAACAACTGCAGCTCCATGGGCATATTACAGCGTCAATGGATTTACTGTTTATTTTCCTACATAGAAGAATAGTGCCCCAAACTAAAATGGTGCTCAGCTTGAATTTAGGAATAGCTGAATAAATTGCTGAGAGGGGTTTGGCTGTTTCCTCATGAGATCCCTATTCCTGTACATACTTCCTCTTCACATCATCCAAGGAGCAGACTTCCTGTCATGGCTAAGAAGTTCACAGTTCATTAACACAAAGCTGGCTTGTTCATGAGCATATGGTCAATATCACAGAACAGGAACATCAGCAATATTATTTTCAAAAGAGAATTTATGTTAATTCTATGCCACATACCCAATGAACTGAACGGATACAGTGAGCAATCTGAGAGTTGACCTCATTCATATTAACGACATCCATTCAGCTCTTAGAATCATTCATAATTCAGGTGAGGACAGTTCACACACACCATTCAGTTTTCCTTTGGAAGCCAACAAATAGCGGTGAACAATTAGCATGTGTTCCTGGATTCCTGAGTCCACCCTGAGAAATAATCATACAGTTCAAAAATGTTTGAAGTTCCAGGAACAAAGATTCCTTCAGCTGTCATAAATAATAATTCAGCCAAAAACAATGAAGTGGCTTTCAGAGAAAAGAACCTCATACTCTATTGTAATTGCCACTCAGAAATAAACAGTTGAAGTTAGTTACTTTGTCAATGAATTAAAAAAAATATTTTCTCACTTTAAGCAAAATAGTTTCAAAGAATTGTCATGTTTTCCCCCTTTGAATAATTTGCATTATTAAAAATAAAAAGTTAATTTTAAAAAAGGATTTAAAATTATTTGTGCATTTAAAATACATTGCTTAAACTGCTCAATATATATAGATTCACATAATAATATATCATGTGTGTACATATATCTCCAGGTGCAAATATTTACAAGCATAAATGTCTAGAGAACTACTACCCAGACATTTGAGGTTATACAGTGGAGCTTTGAAAGAGTTCTATAAAATTTATAACCATAAACCACAACACACTGTTGTAAAAGAAGGAACAAATTTTGTTGACATATACTATTTGAGGTAGAAAGGTTATTTTGAAGAATAAAAGGAACATATGTAAAGAACTGTTGGGGACCATGCTCGAATTAGCTAAGTACTGACTAAGGAGAAGAACACAGAACACGTTCTAGGAGAGCTGAAAGGATCAGCAGCATTGCAAACAAGCTTTCATGGAAATAAAAAGCTTCCATGGGCCGAGGTCTAGCTCAGTGATAGAGCAGTTGTCTAGCATGTGTAGGACCCTGGGGGTTTGGGCCCCAGCACCACAAAACAAGCCCTGCCCAAGCCTATAAATGTTTCCTGTGATGATGTGTATTTCCTTATTTCTTTTCCCATGCTCTCATTTTACTTTTCATTGAGAAATAGCCTTTATAAGACTGAAACACTTCTTATCTTGTTCATATCTAACTGTACAACAATGGAGATTCCTGCTCCTTGACTCCATTTTGGCTATAATTTCAGCATTTAGAAGCTGTGGAATCTCTTTTAAATTACAATTTACAATTAACAAATTCCAGATCCTAAGGTCTTAATGGTTTTAATAACAATATCCTTGGAGTCCTATGTCAGTCTGCCTAAACTTTACCATGAGATCTTATTGAACATTCCGTTTGTAAATTACAGTGCACAGAATACAAAAGAAACCATTACTAGAGTGTTTTCTTTCGTGAACATGATCATTGAAATATCCTTATAAGAGTCATTATGACAAGAAATCTCCCAGTTTACCCTAACTTATCATAATAGAATCATTTTATTAATAAGCATACAGATGGAAATCCTTGTTGGTGCCCCCAGTGGAAGACATGCACACATCTTTCTCAAGTCGTACCTGCTAGGAAGAGCAGACATATCAAGATGAGCAAAGGACAGACATTACTATCCCATAGACAGCTTGGAACACAGTCTATATGAAGATTTTATTTCTTCAAATGAACATGAGTTGTAAAACTCAATACACATTTTTGATCCCCTATATACTGTATTCCCTAAATATAGTATAGCTAGTACTTAATGTGTTCAATAAACCTAACATAACAACCCCCCAAACGTAATTCCTGTAGATTTTACTGCAGAATCACAGTATTATTCGGGGTAAGGAAATATATGGAAATATATTTAGTAAATTACTTAGAATGGATTTGTAAAAATAAATATAATGTACATATTTTAATTGGGAAAATTTAGATGTCTATAAAGAACAAAATATCTTGAATTGGTTATTAACATAGATCTTTAAAATGATGACATTATATCATTTATATAATTTGATCATTCTAGGCAATCCTGATCCTGAAGGTCAAGGTTACTGCCAAGCAGGATTTAGTCTGGACTTTTATAAGGTAAGTTGTTTCTGTCTTACAGCTTCTAATATTTAATATTTTTATTGTTGTTGTGTCTCTAATATTTAATATATTTATTGTTGTTGTTTTTTTATTCCCATACCCCTGCACAAGTAATCTTTATGCACATAACTAGCCATATGGAGCCACTTTTTAGAGTTTTTTGTTTACTCTTTAGTTCTGTTAAGAAATGTGTGTATGTGACAACCTATGTAGAAACACATATGATGAAATTCAGTCATAACCCTTGTAGCAATTATTTTTAAATGAAAATCTCAAAAAGTCAAAAAATATGTTTCTAAAAAGTCACAAGAGGCTATAAATTGTTTTATCTCTTACCTGAAATTGCCTGATTTGATGTTAATACTCATATTAAAAGTCACATATCCTCTTACCAAATTATTATTATTATTATTATTATTATTATTATTATTATTTTCTGGTACCAGGAATCGAACTCATGACCTTGCACTTGCCAGGCAGGTGCTTTGCTGCTGAGCTAAATCCCCAGCATCTTACCAAATTATAAACAGCTGTCTAGTACAGAAATTCAATGGTCTTAAAAATAGTGTAGAAACATTTCAATATATGTTCTGTTTCACTTCTATTTATTGTATTTATCATTGCTTTTTTTGTATTGTTTTAGTTTTATCCCACTGAAAGTTATAGAACTAGGGTAGGGAAGTAGGTCTGTTAGTAGATGAGAAAATGCTTATGTTTGCTAGCATGCAGTTTTTGTTTTCTTTTCTGAGAAAGCAGTGGATTTGCAGATTTATGGAAGAAAGAAAGACTGACCTTGAAAAACACTGGAATAGAATTCACTTTTTATCAGCATGGCATTTCAAAAGACTATGTCTGCCAATTGTACAACATTAAACATGGGGATATTTTGCTTATTACAGACAGTTCCAAAAATTGATATATGTATAACATTATATATTCTCAAGGGAGAGGTTTCAATTTATCTAATTGCATTAAATTAAAATCATTTAATGTGATAACACACTAAATAATTGAAAGCAAAGAACAGGAAAGAAAATGACTTGCAGGTCCCTGATATAAGGACTTCTCTGAAACATTGCTTTTTCATGCATAACAAATTGCTAGATCCAGACTTATTAGCAATAATTTGTCACCCTTTCAAAATTTCAGTGTTTTTTTTCCAATTGTTTCTGTTCTGTTTTTTTCTTTTTGTTTCCATTTTTTCTGTTTTGTAGAATGGAGACCTTATAGTAGGAGGACCTGGAAGTTTTTACTGGCAAGGTATGTTCTGTTAGCAGAAAAGAAAAGCATGTTGTTATTAACAAGGAAATGAAGCAAAAATAACACTGAATATTGTTTTACTGTATTAATATTATAGTCCTGTTCATAGTTTCTTGAGTACAACATTGTTTCAATTTTTACTTTGTCATATATCTGATATTTTAAAATATCCTTGCCACTGAACAGTTCATTTATCCACCAAGCATTTACTGGGGCTTTGCCAGGCTTTGTGTGAGATACAGGGATAATGAGTGTATGCACACATGGTTTTAATGTAGACTAATATCTAGGGAAAGATCTAGACATAAATCAAATAGCCACAAGAGTACCTCTGAAGCTCCAACTGTAATACACACCATGTAAGGTGTGCCGTGATGGGCCCCTGAGAACACAGGAGGCCTTCATATGACCACACACGGGTGACTTTGTTCTTCAACCATCAGTGGCAGGGAGCTGGAATACAACTTGTGCTCTGCTTAGCAAGCCAAGGGTCAAGTGCAGGACAGCATGTACCCAGGAGGGATGACTTCTGGTTCTTCTAAAGGTGCTGCCTAGGCCAGCAGCATCCCAAAGATCAGCTAATTCTGGAATAACCAACTGAACTGTCATCTGGATCTTGAGTAGAGTCTCGTAGGCAAAGAGAGGAGGCAATGTTTAAATGTTGTGTGCCATGAAGAATGGCAGTGCAGGGAATATTGGAGGAAAGTCAAGGTGACCAGAATAAAGAAAGAAAGGGGAGAGTGCTGGAGTGATATGGAGGGGCTCCACCCTCCAGCATGAAGGGCTTGCAGGCCAAGGTGAACAGTGTCTTTGTCCTCTAAACAACTGGAAACCACTGGTAGATTTAGAGTTTCAGTAGATGGGTTTAGCTAGAGGAGGAAGGTGGTATTTGTTCTAAGAATAATGGGAAACCATTGGAGAATCTTGAGCACAGGATGCTATAACCAAGTTCATGTTTTGAAAAGATTACTTTGGCTACAGTATGGAAAGAGGATTGAAAGTTGTCCAAAGCAGAATATCAACAAGTTACAGTAGTTGAACTGTAAGTTCAACTAGCTGTAAGTTTTAGGTAAACAAGTTTGCTTTCTTAGAGTGGTGATGGTGTAGATTTGAAAAAAGCAGGAGAAATTTGTGAGATACTTTGGAGGCAAAATAAACAGCTTAAGTGATGGATTGGCTGTACAGTGGTAAGGAACAGGAAAATGTCAAAGATATGTTTCTGAATTCTTCCCCTGTACCACCCACTGACATGGAAAATGCTAGAAGAGAATAGGCTTGAACGAAGATGGAGATGATAATGAGTTTGGTTTTGGCTTTGCAGAGTATGGAAATGTGCTATCCAAGAGTTTTCACATGAGTATTTAGGAATATAGGCTTAATCTCCAGGAAGCTATCACATAAATTTGTATCACTTTCATATGGGCAGTAGCTGAAGTCATGAGATGAATGAGATGTTTAACAAGAATACAGAGACTCCAGACTGAATCTTGTCTGTAAAGTTAGGATAAAAATAGGGTAGAATACGAGACAGATGAATATTTGAGGGAAGACATTTTTTTAAATGAAAGACCTGAACATATTTAAAATCAGGAAAGATCCAGGGAGATACATTTACAATAAACATTTATTTGTAATTACTATTAAGCTTAATTCATGAATAGATGATTAAGAACATCAAATATCATTTTGATCTTCAGGAATTGTTTTGCAAACAAAATATAATATCCAACAGGGATATTATATCAGATATTATATCATCAACAGATGGATATAAAATCATGCTTGTTTTAGATTTTCTCTAATTCACTTGGTTAATTTTACATAAGCCATTCCTTTATTTAAGTTGGAAAAATGTCTGATACAAATGATTTGAAATAAGGAATGGCAAGGGTATGTAGAAGCACTTGTCTGAGATATATAATTTAAAATTTTATACAGGTTTAAGATTATAAAGATTATAGACCAAGCTAAAGGAAACAAACAAAAGCAGTGTATATATGGGAGAAAGGGAAGGGACTGTTGAGCTTTAGCCTTAAAAAATTGGCAAATTCTACTCACATTCTCATGAATTTTGTGTGTAAACACAATTTTCTTAATATTAAAACAGTCATTTCAGTTCCAATTACTTGACAATAGTTATTACATGATTTGACAACTTTATTCTGTTCTGGACTTCAAACAAAAAGACAATGGGAATTATGTGTGAATTTTGAAAGCATAATTTGGCTTCAAAATTAAGAATAAATATTAGTCTTTTGAAAATATTTCTCCAGTTTTCTCCCAAAGAGCATGAAATCTCACTTTTGCCTTAGATTTCCATAATAAATATGGGGATAGATAGGAATTTTGGTGGAAAATTGTTAGGGATATTGTAGACAATCGTGTACCCCAATACAGTCATATTTCATGACATCTGTGTGTGACTATTTGGGAGAGATTAGCCGAATTGCCCATTGGTTCCTTTTTTGCTAAAATTCTGGTTCTCATTGGATCTGGCTACTTCCTACTGTTATAAATTTATTATATATATGTATATATAAGCATTAGTAAATACTAGCATGAAAAGTCTTAAATATTGCATAAATCCTTTCTGTATCTTTCTGATATATTTACAATTTCTTCATTGAGTGTGATTTAGATTTAATACTATATCTATACTTCATAAGAATACAGAAAGTTTTATGCCAAAGGAGATCTTGGTGTAATGCCAAATATCCTACCAACAAAACCTTAAAGGATATACTGAAGCATCTTGTGCCACCTATAACGAAAGCTGTATTTGGCTGAATGATCTCTAAATTTCCTTCTAGGACATTCTAGAATAAAAATTTAACCAAATAAATTTCAGCTGCAAGTATCTCTTTGATACTTTTAATATTTAAAAGTGAAAGGAGTATGTATACTGAAAAAAGCAGGAAGACAAACTGCTGTAGCTTATCAGTATTTTTGACAACATTCTGTCAAAATGGGAAGCCCCACCCAGTGGCAACCAGCTCTACCTCGCAGATCTAGTAGTAAACAGGAAAATTTATATCAAAACACAAGAAATAACAGGACAGCTTTTAGAGACTGTTTCTGGGTCTGCAGAGGGAGGACCTGCCTCTTGCATTCATTAAACTTATGTATTAATTTGTTTAAACACAGGTCAGGTGATCACGGCCAGTATTGCAGATGTCATTGCAAATTATTCATTTAAGGATATTCTAAGGAAACTGGCTGGAGAAAAGCAGACAGAAGTGGCTCCAGCTTCCTATGATGATAGCTACCTTGGTAAGATCCATTGCTGAAGATATTTATGGTTTCTTAAAAGACAAACAGATTAAATGTAGCTGCAAGTTTGATTCATGACTTGTCCGGCATCTTTTGAAAGTTTTATTTCTAGTTTAGACTCAGCTTTTCTTTATAAATTTAACTATGCTTTCACCCATCATGTATATAATCTACGTAGGCTGAGTGCTATATTTCTCTAGCAGCTCTTTTGTAGGCTCTCCAACATTCTTTTGCACAGTAATTATTTTGCTGGTAGTAGATGCTATGTATTTGAGAGGTTGATCAGTGCCACAGGAGCGACATGATAGGAGTCCTAACCCATTTCTAGAACAGCAACAAGAGACTTTCCACATCCTACATCTTTCACCTGCTTTCTCAGTGCTGGGACCAAATACCTAACACTCACAACTTAAAGAAGGAAAAATTTATTTTATCTCACAGTTTGTAGAGGTCTCAGTCCATAGTCAACTGGCTCCACACCAGAGTGGTAAGGCAGAGGGGTGTGGCAAAGGAGAAAGAGCTCATGGCATAGCAGACAGGAAGCACCAAGCCTTTCTTCTTCTCCTTTTTTTATCCATCCAGGCTGCAACCCTATTGGTTGGTGTTGCCCACACCAGGGGTGGGTCTTCTTGAGTAAAGCCATCATCCACACTCAGAACTATGCAAAATCAATCGGAGGAGTAATTCAGTATCACACACCCATGATCTAGTCACTCCCAAAAGCCTCACCTATGAGGGCATGAGGGCAGGGCGAGACATCTAGATGTAATCCATAGCATGCTATAACATTCTCAATTTTTATTATGTGCACACCAAAATACAATGGTATTTCATCACCAATATATCCCACTTTCAGAATCTTACTGGTATTTTGACAGCTTGTTAAATTTGAAAAGGAAAAAATGACACTTATTTTTGGTCAGTGTAGCTAGCATCTGACTTTAGAGATAAGTGAAATTTATGGAATACTACCATTAAAGGAATTAAGAAGCATAGCTTGTTGATGATCAGAAGTAGCAAAACCCAAGCATAAAAGCTGCCTGTCAGAATATCATGTTTGATGACCTGAATCTGCAGCTCTTAAAATACAAGGGCTGCTTTACATTTCAAGGTGGATTATGAAGTGTTTATCTTTGAAAATTCACCTCCGAATATAGTTTTTGTTTTGTTTCTTTGTTTTCCTATTTTCCTTTTTAAGATCACAGTGGCAGATCCAGTGTACATCTGGGATTTAGTACGAAGCGTTCATATTAGTGTGGTTAATTTTTACTTTTATAGAAACCTGAATTTTTATAATGTTTGTAGTGATTGAAGCAGTATCATGGTAATACTTTCATTTTTTCAAGATGTAACTTATCTGTTGAGTCATCAAATGTGATTGGTTTGTCTGTTTTCTTTAAAACAGGATACTCAGTTGCTGCTGGGGAATTTACTGGAGATTCTCAGCAAGGTGAGATGAGAGAAATCATCCAATTTAAGTCATTTTAAAAGCTTGAGGATTTTCTGATGAAAGCATTTTTACATCTCATCCCATGCCCCCAAAATAAAAGGTATTAATTGTGAAAGAAACTTAAGGTTGTTAACCTTGTTTTTCAGAAGAGCTACTGTTAACTTGCTATAAATATGAAATATTGGGCTGAAAGTATCACTGAGTGATAGAGCAATTGCCTAGTTGGTCCCCAGCACCACAAAACAAACCTGAAATCCCCCTGCTTCCCACCCCCCAGTTCCAGTCATAATTAAAATCTGTACAAATAGATTGTTCACTTGTTGAGGTGCAAAATGTTTTTGACTTCATTTTGAAGTTATTTAATGACCAGAAAGAGATGCAGTAATTGACTACAATTTTTTTCTGCCATATCAAAGTAAGTAATTTATGCCTTCATTATCAGGATGGGCCTACAGTGAATAAGTATTAGCAGTTCACAAAATTTTTTAATGGAGTTAAAAGGGAAGCAATATACTTCCTTAGGGGATTATCATGGGAAGATAAATCTAAAAATATTCCTAGTAATACTTCATATTTAATACTCTAAAACTTTTACAAATGAAAACCATAAAATACCTGCCTTAGTTCCTTTGACATAAAAAGTGATCACTTGGTTATGTGGTAGCTGTTACTTACACAGCAAAATTTCTACTGTGATTTTAAAATCATCATTTACTGGGTTCTAATAAATTAAAAATTAAACTGAAAAAAAAAACTTGGGGAAAGGTAAGATGACATAAAAGTCCTTCTGTGAATGTGAATTACTTTGCTATATAAAATGTATATAAATTAAAGCCCAAATTGCCTAGGATATTTTTAGAAATGTATATATAATTTGGTATGCAGTTTTAAGTCTCAAAGAATTTCATAAGAATCAATACCAAAGTTTATAAAATCTAGTTAAGCAATACAAAATCACAGCAGCCATCCCGTGGTATGAGTGAAAAATGCACAGTTCAGGCAATTAAATGATTTAAACAACAGCCACACTGTTAGTACCAGATAGAATTTAAGAAATCAAGATATCTCCTTTTACCTTAATGTCTCAGTTCGCACATTGGACATATCCAAAATTACTCTCCCCACTGACTCCAATCCAATTTTCCAGCTTTATTTTCCTTTCCTCTTAGGACATGCCTAGTCCAGCTGTAAGAGCAGCTAATCCCTGTTTTCCTACATGTAGGAGAATACATCATTTTTCTACATCATTTGTCTTCTGAAATTTGCTTTGATTTCATCTGTGATTTTAATCCTCTGATCTTGTAATCATCTCATCTACCAGTGGCCACATGCTTTTACTTATGTATTTTTAAGCTAATTTCAAGTGTCACCATCCCCACAAATCCTTATTTGGCTTCCTCCTGTAAACTTCTATGTCATTTCATTTTTCTCTCCTCTAAGACATCTGCCGATCATTCTTCAAGATTTTGTTTTCCAGTACTGGAGATTGAACCCAGAGTCTTGGCATTGAGTTATATCCTCTACCATTATATTTTACCTTCAAAATTTTTTGTTTTACTATATTAGTTTAGTTTAGCCGAGTTTAGTTTAGTTTGACACAGGGTCTTACTATGCTGCTAAATTGTTCAAGACAAGCTAACTTGCCCTCCTCCTGCCTCAGCTTCCCAGAATGCTGAAACCTCAGGCACGCACCCCCATATCTAGTTTCTCAAACAGTTTTGCACATCTACTAAGTGTTATGTTTTGTTGGCAACTGCTGAACATGTACAGGAGACCAAATGACCCTTAATCTCAGGGTTTACAATCTACTAGAACTGATAGACATTGAAGAAGGAACACAGAAGATCTGATTAAATATTGTGGAAATTGCTAAGATAAACTTTAAAATATACAGTAAGGGAAGCTTTGGTGATGAGAAAACACTCAAAAAGAATGGGGATAGGGTGCAGACCAAGGAGCCAACTTTTGCATGCTAAAATATATGAAAGACTAGAGCATTCAAGGAACCCATTTTGACTGGCCAGACTTTGGTACCAATCATGAAATAAAATAGAGTTAGCGAAAAAAGAATGGGCTCCAGATCATGCTGGATGTTATAGTCTTGGGAAATCTTCTGGAATTTATGAAAAACATAGAGAAGCCATAAAGGCGTTCAGCACAATGTAAATATAATCCAGTTATATTGCTGCATTTGTCAACTTTTAGTTGCTGGAAAAAATTACCTTACATACACCACTTAAAGAGGACAGATTTATTTGAGCTCAGAGTTTCAGAAGCTGCAGTCCATGGTCAGCTCCAAAGCAGAAACATCATGGCAGAAGAGTGTGGCAGCAGAGAGAGAGAGTGGGGAAGAGCTCCAGAAAGTATGTAGCTTCGCAGGCCCAGGGACCTACTTCCTCCAGCCAGGCCTCACTTCCTAGCATCCCATTCAGTTAATGAACTTGTTAACAGATCAGAGCTTGCATGATACAATCCCTTCTCTAGGCCCCACCTCTGAACAGTTGCTGCATGGGGGAATCAAACCTTCGGTAAGTCTTTAGGGGTTGCATTATAATTACAGCATAACAATTATAAAATCTTTATAAAATTTATAAAAAACAAAAGAAAGGAAAGGAAGGTGAAAGGGAGAGAAGAAAGAAAGGAAATCACTCTGGCTGCTTCCTCTGTAGACTTTCTTAGGATAAGGGTAGGGAAGAGTGTTGTATATAGAATTTTTATGTTCCCATTGAGCTCCTTGAAGGCAAAACTCTATGTATTGTTCTCGTTTATTTCCCTCACAATGATTAGGCCACATTCTCCTTGTAATAGACTCATACAGAATAATCTGACAAAAGAAAGTTATTTAGAGTCAAGATCTATACAGGTTCAAATTCTGACCTCACTGACAATATGTCTTAAGATGTGGCAACCTCTCTGATTCTCATTTGTTTATCTTTAAGTGATACTAATCCTATGTAACTCAAAACATCATTTGGAAGATGGCATGACATGATGCATGAAAAACATTTTTCATACACAAGGCTATAAGTAGTGCTTTTTCTACTTAGTAATGTGTAGTGACTAAGCCAATTATCAATCAGTATTTACCATTTTCATTTTGTTTCCTATGAACATTAACTGTCACTAATAAAATGTTTTAACTAATCACAAATAACTAAGCGTAAGTGTGATGTGATCTTCTTAGAAATCAGCGCAGATTTTTTAATAGTTTCATATTGATGAGTTTCATGAAGTAGAAATCCATAAAGCTTTGTAGTTTGGTAGAGGTTAATAATAATCAGTTTTCTTTTAAATATAAACTAATTCTTAACGAACCTCTCTTTCCATGACATTTACTTCAAGCTCTTAAAAGGCAGTATATTATATTGGCTAAGGGATAAGACTTTGGATATAAACCTATTGGTTTTAGACCCTGACTTTACTACTAACTAGTGTTGAGATGTTAGGCAAATTATCTAACATCTTTTTGCCTTTCTTCATTCTTAAAATAGGGACAGATCATTATTGTATTGCCTATCTCATAGCATTTTAATGACTAAATTAACTCAATTTTTATAGCCATAAACTAGAACAATTCCTAGTACATAAAAAATAATTGGATTAGGGGTCATCAGAACAAAAATAAATAGTATATTTTTAAAAGTCAAACCTTATAATCACTCACTTAGCAATTTAGCAGAGGAAATTGTATAATGTGCCAAATGATTTTTGTTTTGTTTTGTTTTGTTTTTTGTTTTTCTCCGGTACCAGGAACTGAACTCACGACCTTGTGCTTGCCAGGCAGGCACTTTGCCGCTGAGCTAAATCCCCAGCCCCTTGTGCCAAATGATTTTTGTTTAAATAAGGCATTAGGGGTTTTGTTCAGAAACTCCAAAATACCACTCAGTTCTTACTCAAGGAAGTTAGCAATGACGCACCACAGCACATTCTAGAGAACGATGATTGAAAATAACCTTGATTTTACACTGGCTCTCAAAAATACTGAGAAAAGACACCCAAATTTGAATGACATGAGGATATACAAAATGAAAGCACTACAAGAAAATTACATTCCATTTATAAGACCATTAGAGATCCAAAGCTATCCTTGTCCATTATGTACTTAATTAGACAAGAGGGAGTGGGTATTCTATGAAAACTAACTCACTATTCTCTGGCGGAAGGACCCTTGGCTGGCTAGGCTTCACTGGACTTGAACTCCTAGGAATTACATGCAACATTTGTATGTGTTTGCGTTTTTCTGGCAAGAGAGTCTATAATTTTCTTCAGTGTCAAATGTGTTCACATTCATAAAAAGCTCCAGAGTTTCTGTTCTGACATCAGATGTGGTAAGCTAAGCCCCAACAAAGTGATCAGAGCCTGCCTGGTCCAAACAAAGCAACTGGACATTGCTGTCGTTTCTCATCTTCTACTACTCACAATTACCCCTGTTTCCAAGAGTGTCAAAATGGGTATTAATGTCTCCTTTTGAGAAGTGAAAAGAGTGAAATATGATAAAGTACGCAGCTCATTGTTTAGTAGGTGGAACACTTTCAATAATGCTAGCCTCCTTTCTGCTTCTTGCCAGTGGGTTTGATGTCCAAGTCATGAATTTCCAGGTCAAAGACCTAAAATTTTCCTGAACATATTGTTGATATTAAGAAACTTCTGAAGCTCACCATGAATTATTGGAATGGATTTAACACGACTCTCCTATTTTCCCTTCCAAATGAAAATTTGTGTGCTTGAGTGGCAGTTCTAACTTGCCTTAGACCTCAAACAATTAAACTGTCCTAATCATTTATAAACAGTTATGAATGTCTTTAATCAACATTACATTTAATAGCTCCTTCGTGGAGGGGGTCATAGGAAGTTGCAGACTCCAAAGCTACTGGGTGCGATGGCTGATCTTTTAAAAAGCAAAATTCTAAATGCTTGTGGGACATGAAAAGTAATGGGATTGCCCTGAATTTTTTGACGGCATAATCTATCTTAACAGACAAGCCTGACCCTGAAATCAGTCAGCTTCATTATATCTGATTGTGGTTTGTCATGAACAAAAAAAAAAAAACAAAAACTAAAAAATAAAAAATAAAAGAATTATTGAAAACCAAGCAGTGTGCTAGCATTCTGAAAGCTTCCCTGACTGGAGAGTGCATCCAGATGGTTTGGTTTTTCTGAACCTCATCTTCATCTTCAAGAGCATGCTTCACCTTCCCTCCTGTCACTGTAGATCAACCCTGCCCCAGGTCTGACCCCGTCAGAGATGGGACTCTAGAAATTCTTCCTTTTCTATGTTACCAACCCACGTTTTCCTCTCTCCTACATCATTCCCACGAACACATAAGCATACTGGTATTTCTCCCATCTTAGAGAAAGGAACAGAAGTCTTGCGCCTCTCCCTTCTCCAGCTACCGCCTGCAATTCTTTGCTTTGAAGGAGGTGCCACTCGTTTCTGTGGCTGCAGTCTCTGACCATCACCTCCCTTCCACGAATCCCCCTCTTGCTGCACTGGGCTACCGCTGTACTGAAACAGTTCTTGCCAAGCAAACCCAAAGACCCCTGTGTAGGCAACTTCCTTGACTATCAGGAACATTCTTGTATTTCTCTCCCCTCCATGGCATGCCCAGAACTAAATTTATGGGCCAGCCTTACCATATGAGTTCTCTCTTGGTGATCTCATTCAGCTTTTATTCTTTTTTTGGTACTGGGAATCGAATTCATGACCTCAGCCTTGCCAGGCAAGCACTTATGCCGCTGAGCTACATCTCCTTAGTTTTTACTCTTTTCTCTAGCTTAGACTTGATTCCAGGCTCATGGATCCAACTCTGTACTCAGAATTTCTGTTTGAGTAGCTTTCCCAAACTCTGTGTGCTAGTACCTAACCACCTGACTTTCCCACCAAAACACACCCCATTGTCACCTGCTAGATGCAGTTGGATGCCATTCCCAACATCCCAGTTTCTCAAGCCAGAAACGTTGGAACTCAGCTATGGAGTATGCTGTTTCTCTCACACCCCATACCAAATCCATAAGCAAAGTCTGCTCACTAAATGCTCAAAATCCTACCAAAATCGCATCACTTCTTACTTCCATTATAACTTCTACTTTGACCCAAGCTCACCCTCACCCCTGACTGCAGTAGCCTCCTACCTGGTCTCCCTGCTTGCCTACAATCTAAATCCAGCAGTCACTGTGCTCCTCTCAAAATAGAAGTCAGATCAGGTAACTGTTTTTCTCCCAATGATTTCCTAGTGCTTTCAGCCTAGAACCCAAGTGTTTACAGTGGCTTAGAAAGCTGTATTAATTGGGTCAATTGGACCTCGTTTTCTAGTCCTTTACCTCTACTCCTTCTACTCAAGTCACCCTGGTCTCTTGCACCCCTTCACATCATCCAAACACACTCCTAACTCAGGGTATTTACACTTCATGTTCCCTGGAACTAAGCACACTCCTCCAAGACATCCACAATATTTACTTCCATCCTTTCAACATCGTGTTGGAAGTCACAGTTAGTTTAATAAGACAAGAAAATTAGGTAAATGGCTTACAATTGGGAAGGAAGAGATAATGCAACCCCAAGTTATAAAACACATAATTGTCTACATAGAAAATCCCATTGAGGAGCTGGGGATTTAGCTCAGCGGCAAAAGCACCTGCCTGGCAAGCGCAAGGTCCTGAGTTCGGTTCCCGGTACCGGAGAAAAACAAAAAAAAAAAAAAAAAGAAAATCCCATTGAATCTATATTTTTTTAAAAAATTTATCAGTCTTCACTCTCTTGTTTTGCTCTCATTTAGATCTTCCCTTGACTACCCTAATACATAGCAATTCCTTTTCCCATTCTAACATTAACACACCCTATACCAATTTATGGCTTAATTTTTCTCCACAACGTTTGTCTTTTCTTACCATTTAATAGACTCTTTTTTTAATTGTCTGCTTCTTTCAACTAGAATATAAGCCCCAAGAGAGCAAGGAATTTTGTTTTGCTCACTACTCTATCTTATGTCCAGTCATCTGTAAATACAGAATCCACCAAAAAATTACACACATATTAGGAAAGGAAAAAGTTGTATAAATATTTTAACACTAAATTTATTAGAACATCATGCCATAATATGATTACTTTTGACCTCTACAATTGCAAGAGGAGCTCAAAGAGGTGGGCATTAGCTTTTAGACATTTATTAGTACAGTAAACTGCTGAAGTATGTGTAAATTTTTTGGTAGACTCTGTATGTATTGGCTAAATGAATGAATTTACTGCTGAAATATGTGACATCTAATCGTAAGGGGTTCTTCCATGATTATTAATTTTAACTCCACCGCACCCAAGTCTGCTGGAGCATAGTTATGGCAGATATATTTAACATTCAATTTGTGCTGTGTCTTTTGGGGCAGTAGGAGGGCAGGTGACTTTTTTTTAATCTTAAAAAGAGAAAAAAACAAATACAAAGGCAAAAAGAAAACAATAAAAAGCCATAAAAATGATACAGAATTTCCAAACAAGGTGATAGGAAATTAACAATTGTTGTTACAATACATATTGTTATCTTCAAAGTAGTTGCTCAGATCACCCAACACAGACATGCAAGATCAATCAAACAATTAAGCGTTAACTGCTCCTTTCAACAAAGCAATAGAAATCAGTGGTACCATTACCCCAGCTGTCTTGTGTGTGTGTGTGTGTGTGTGTGTGTGTGTGTGTGTGTGTGTGTGTGTGTATTTCCCCTGCTTCTTTTCTCCTTGCCCCTATGGGCAGGTGATTTGTATAGAATAAGAATCTCTTTGACACCCTTTTTTTTTTAAATTATACTAAATTTTAAACCTTTATGAATCAAAAAAACTTCAGTTCCTAGACTCTAAAGCAGAAAGGATTTTTGATAGTCAGCTATTCCAATTTCTACATAGGGTTTGCAGAAAAATTAGGTTCAGTAACTCAATCCAAGAATATGGCAGACTCAACATTGGAACCATTGTTTGCTAAATCTAAATCCAGGCCAGGCCCACTGGAATATGTTTCCCTTTCCCCTAGAGTTGTCTCCTGTACCACTGATGCTTCCTTCCTGGGATACTAGGCAACCAGGTTGCCCCTAATGCAGTTGTAGGAGGCTAGCAAGTCCAGAAGGCCATTTTCCTGTAGTTTATAGTATGTAGCTTTTGCTTGGTAACCAAAATTGTTTTAGCCGGTTAGCATGACTGGAGTTGTACTTTTACGTCAGCACAAAAGATGTCCCTTGAGTGACAGCTGCAACATCAGAGTAAGGAGTTTAGCTTACAAATTGCATTCAGACTAAGAAGTCAGGCTTAATTTCTAGAGGCAGAAATGCAAGCAAACTGATATAAAAAGTGGAAAATCTCAAAGTACCACTTTGGTTTTTTTGTTTTCTGCTGTCTGTCAGAAAACAAAACAGCAGCAACAGCAAACTAATTAAAAAGTAAATTAAAAAGTAAATACAAGTTTTTAGGTTGTAGGTAGTAAACTAATTAAAAAGTAAATCCCTGGCTTCAAACTTCTAACCATGACCAGGATAGTTACTCATTTAAGAGGCAACGTCTTTACCAGAACTTGTTTGCTGTACAGATTCAGATACATATGTCATTTCCCTTCTCAATATCTACTTTTATGTCCAGAACTGGTTGCTGGAGTTCCAAGAGGAGCACAGAACTTTGGATATGTGAGTATTGAGAATCCGTTCTAAGATACTTTCTTGTTTATGCAAAGAAATGTTTTCTTGCTTGTAACTTTCAAGTCTTCTAAAGTTTCCTTTAATAATGGATTCCTCCAAATAATCAAGGCCTTTTTCTTATGGAGAAGGAAAGAAGATAAGTGAGGCTAGATTAAGTCTATGATTTGTGGGACCAAGTGCAAAATGAAAATGTGGGGTGCATTTCTGTTTTGGAAAGATTTATAGCTATCAAAAGTTTTGAATTATTGAAAACTTCAAGGCAAAACCAAGCTGACCCATCTAAGCCCATAGTCATGGAGGCACGTGATCCTGTATATATGCACATTCTAGAAGTATTATGCAGGTTGCCTTTATTATCGTTGACCTCTTACTATATCTCATATGGTAGGAATGGTAAAATAAATTTTTATTTCACTAATGTGTTATTTTGCTAAGGCGGCTTAAAACAACATACATTTATTATCTCATAGCTCTGGAGGCCAGAAGTCTGAAATCACACTGTGGACAGGGTCATGCTCTCTCCAAAGCATCTAGAGGAGGATTCTCCTTGTCCCTTCCAGCTTCTGGTGGCTCCTGGTTTCCCTTGGCTTGTGGCAACATCACTCCAATCTCTACCTCCATCTCCACACAGCCTTCTTCCCTCTCTCTCTGTGCGTATCCTCTTTCTTTCTATAAGGACACCAGCTATTGGGTTTAGTGCCACCCAAGAGGAACTCATCCTGAGATCCTCATCTAATTTCATCAACAAAGACCCTGTTTCCCAATAACCTCAAGTTTTTAGATTGTACGTAGATATGAACTGGGGATGAATACTAGTCAAGCCCATTATAACTAGTTACCATGAAATTAGGAAAATAGTATGTATAGACTTTATTAAAATATATATGTTAAACAATTTTACCTTTTCATAGACATTTAGAAAGCATAGATTGTTTATAGATTTGGGTTTGGCTGAATAACACTAAAAATATTTTTGCTATATGGATAGCACTTAAAAACATTATTTTTGCATTTTTTATCAATTCTTATAAGAACAGAAATATATTTAGACCAACATTATGATTAAATAAATTAACTGACCATTAGGTTAATTGGTCTCAATTCTCTTGAATTCAACTTCTCTTTAGCACTTTTGTGTGAGTTTTGTCTGAAAGTTTCCTAGACTTAACCATATCAAAAAGTTTAATGAGCTTTCTATCATCTTTTGGGGCTTACATTTTTGTGTTACATGTAACTAACCATGAATTACTCTTCACATATAATTTAACTCATTTAAATTGTATTTTAAGAAAACTTCTCCAGTTCTATGTCAAATGACGTCTTTCAAATTTCTATGATTTCAGGTCTCAATCATTAACTCTACAGATATGACTTTTATTCAGAATTTCACTGGTGAACAGGTAAAGATATTTTAGTATGAAAATATTAATGCCACTCTATGCCCACAGTATACTTTAATACACATATCACTTATTAACTCACTTAAGAAATAGTTAACAAGCACTTACTTTGTGCTGCAAACTGTTCTAGGCACTAGGGTTGTAGCAGTGCTTCAGAGCAAAGGATACCAGCTCTTGTACAGCTGTGTGATAGATGAGGTATAATGGGACAGTTAATTCACAAACAAATAAATGCTAGTGATAATTCAAGATAATGCTCAGTGATATAAAGAACATAGACTATTTATATAATGTGGTGAAGGTGGCAAAGACACTAAGAATGGGATTGCATAGGGGCAACATCTAATCCAAAGATAACAACAGCTAGCAAGACAGTTTTCAAACAGGAACCAGGTGGGCATTTGTGAGGGAAACAGGGAAGGCCTCAGTGGCTGTGACAAGCAGGAGAGAGGTAGAAGCTCTGGAAATGGGGACAGGGGCTTCTCCCGTGAGCCTTAGTCAGCAACCCTCTCATTTCAAGTTATTTTTTTCAATAAGGTCACATTCAAAATTCATGCTATGCCCTGAAGCTGGTATCGACGTCTGCATGAGCTCCTGTCTTGCAAAGTGTTGGGCCTATGGCCCTCCAGGGAACCCCATTCTAGAGACGGTGGAGAAAAAAATGTCATGTCCTACTTAGCAAGGTCCCCTGGCCACACTGCATTTAAAAATGAGAGTTCGTTGAGGCCATAGGTAGAATGGACCAGGGTCTCAGTGAAGTGACTAAGGCATGATTAATGGCAAGTAGCAGCCTGGGCAGGGTAACAGCACCTGTTGGATAAGCAGCTGGGAATGATAAAGAGCTCTGTGATCCAGGTAGGAGCAGGTCCTCAGTAACACGGAGGACATATGCTCTTGCTGACAGTGAACATAAGGGTGCATGCACATGTATGTGTGTGTGTTGTTATTGTTATTGTTTTTGTTTTTGTTGCTGTTTAAATGAATACATTAAACGTCTCTAAGAACCAAGAAGTTCAAGGCAAATGACTGAAATAAATGTTAAGAAATGCTCCTCTCTTGTCCACGTATATCATCAGAGCTTTAGGAAATAACGGATCCTGGGAGATCAGGCTAGAACACGTACTGGGTGTCTAGGAACCTCACAGCCTCTCCCAGTGCTGGACATGGACCCAGGGTGACACAGGGTGGTGTACTCTGTTTCTTAAAAGTAAAAGGCCACTGATTGCTGGGACAGGATTGTGACCTTCCTATGTTTTGGGAGCTCTGCCCTTGAAAGGTGGTGGACCCTTGAAGCCTGTTCTTCTTAGATGACTCAGGCCACTGTGAAATTATGTCAGAGCACATGGGCATGGATTTGTGCCTCAGCTGTTCATGGCAGCTGGAACCCACTCCCAAGTCTCAATGGTATATGGAGTCTCAACAAATTATTGGTTCTGAGCCCCTCCTCCCAGAGACTAGATATTAATCTTTACACACTGTCGTGGGCTGAAGTCCTACTGTGATGGGTCACAGGCCGGAAAATAATCCACCACCTTTTTGACCAAATGTGGTGTGAGGTCACACCTCATCTCCGCTCTGTATTTTCCTGGGTATTGCAACCTAGGGAAACTTGGCACATTAGGTACTGAGTGTGGTACAGCCATCCAAGGGAGCCATACCACAAAAATCTGATCATTAAGGTCATAAATAACACTAAATATTTTTGACATCTTTTTGGCAAAATTTGGGGCTTTAGTGCACTTAATTCTGTGAAGTGTTTCAAAGTATTTCATATCCTTCATGATTCTCTGTGGAAGATTTGGCAAAATGTCCCTCAGTGAAGTTGATTAGACATGTAAGTTTTGAGCAACTCTTCCTAAGTTGTTCATAAAATGTGGGAATATGATGGTACACTGCTTAGACTCATGGAAAAGATTTGGGAGGGTTCATTAACTGTAAACTCAATACAAACACATACTGGGATGTGAAACCAGCCCCCACGGAAATTTTTTGTGCTTCATTAATAAACAGTGCAAAGTGGAGAGGATAAAACCGCTTACTTCTTTGTGCTCTTGATCATCACCTGTGGTATCTCTAAGAAAGAGGGGTCAGATGATACATAATCTGAAAGGATTCTCATGAAACTTCATATGGAGGTGGGATTAGGTTTATTCTATGGGATTTAAAACTGCAGAACAGGGAGCAATTAAGGACTAGAAGTTGTGGAAGGGCCACGTTTAGCAATGAACATTCAAATAACTGTGTCCACAAATTGAATGGATTGATTGTTCAGCGTATCCAAAGGATGTCCAAGCAGATGTCAGGGTTATTACAGAGAAAATTATTCATTGGGCCAAAGTTTAGACTAAATGACCTGAAAAATCGGACCACATCCAAGAGACAATGAATCTACATGCAAAAATGTACCATAATGAGATACATCCTTCCGGCAAAATAAGAGGTGACTATAAAAAGGACTTTGGGAACACAACATATGTCATTCTTATGGTTTTCTTTTGCAGATGGCATCTTACTTTGGATATACTGTCGTAGTATCAGATGTTAACAATGATGGGTAAGTTTGTACAAACTTCTTCCTCACTGGATATTAAGTTCATCCATAAAGATGTTGTATTTTTCCTTCATGAAACACTTCCTTCCGTACTTCCTCAACAAGAGAGAGGCCCTCTTGTTTTAAGTCTTTTTTTTTTTTAACTCAGGACAGGGGATGCATCTAATAAAGAATTCTGTCATCCTGTTTTTATGTCTTTACTGAGATTTTCCACATCTGCCACCTCTAAAAGAGGACTATGTCATTTTATTTTTAGTTTTATGAAGTGAGTAGTCCCAGGATGAATCTGTGGAGGCCAGAGGATTTTTTTAGGGTGCTCTATTGGAGGATGCTGTCATTGTGCATTTGTTAAGACCCACAGAATGCACAACCCTAAGCATGAACTTGATGTAAACTGTGGATTTTGCTCAGTAATAATGTATGAAATGTAGGTTTCTAGATTATAATGTGCTGTTCTCTGGTAGGGGATATGAAGGTTGGAGAGGCTTGTATGGTAGGGAATTAATGTAAGAACACTGTATTTTCTGCTCAAATTTGCTTTGCATCTAAAACTGCTCTATGAAGTAAAGTCTATGAATTACAATTTAAAAAGAAAAACTGTAAGGGGTGACGGGGAGAATCAAGAGGGATTTTAAATCAAACACATGGTGAAGGGCTCGGTGACAAGGTACAGGTACGGAGAGGTCACTGAATTACTGCAAACAGTTGTCCACAGTGCCACACAAACTGCCTGGGACGGGAATGAGTCTGTCCCCAAGAGCGATCAGTACACTGTCATGTGAGGATTCCAGGTGAGGATGTAACTGGCTCAGACTACGGTTTCCTAGGTAGGCTGTGCCTGGCATATTCATGGGCAAGGGAATGCAAGATCATGACTTGGACCAGAGCAGAAAGAGTGGTGGGAAATAGTTGCACTGTGGACATATTCAAAGGTCTAGTAGAGTGTCCGTCTTACACTGGAGAGAGTTAACATTAAACTGCCTTAATCTTCAGTTATCTGAAGACCACCAGTCAAGATCCCTTCTACACTGAGAACAGCCAAATCACGGTGGCCTTTCAGATATGTGTGGACACAGCCATCTCAAAAACCAGGCACACAAGCACAGGGCTTCTCACCCTCGGTGGCAGGCAGCATTTTCTAGG